TAAAGCCCTAACTAAATCCTAACCGGCCCATAGAAGTTAAATAAAACCTGTGTCGGCTAATACGTGAATATACATAAAACACAATCCTACTTTAAACTAATTTAATTAAATAAACCCCATTATCAATTAAGTCAAATAAAACATCATAAAACAATTTAATTTAAAACAATGTAATAAAAGAAAACCAAACAATTTAATCAATTAATTAAAAAAAAAAAAAAAACAAATTTAAATAACCATGGATGAAACACACAATTAAAATAATTTAAATAAAAGATTAAACAATTAAATAAATGCCTGGACTATCCTTTTAAAATTAGGGGTATTACATGTAATGACCTTATTCTTTTGTTGGTTTCATGAGAAACCCATTATATTTGTGGCCACAAATGCCTTGGCATGTAATTATATTCTTTGGGTACATTTTTATCATTTCAAAAATGTATGAATGTTTAAACGATGATTTAATTATCAATGATAAATGTATGAGGTTATTTTGACGATTTAATGCGACGTTTGCATGTTGTATGACGTCTACAGGGTTTAATTTCGTGTTTAGTGGCCTTGGGAATGCATTGGAAAGGCTTGTAGGAGTGATTTACTCGATCACATTAGGTTGGGATCTCATCTAACCGGTTAGATGGGCCATCTGATCGGTTAGATTAGATTTAGGAGGCCATCTAATTGGCTACATGGGCTATGTAGTCAGTTAGATTAGGTTTTGGGGACTATCTAATCGACTACATAGGGCATGTAGGCAGTTAGATGGCTGGGCAGAGAGTTGGGTTCTTCTGGGTGGGTCATCTGATCGACTACATGAGTGATGTAGTCGGTTAGATGAGCATCCAAACGCTTAGATCCCTCATCTAGTCGGTTAGATGAGTTGTTTGGTTTGCACCTCTTCTAGAAACGGCATCCGATCGACTACATGGAGGCATCTAGTCGGTTAGATGGTCCAGGATTTACGTTTTGACACCTGAACTTGTTAGTAATCATCGAATGACCATAATAAATGACAGATTTGCCCTTTTTGAGCCTTAAACCATACCCGACCATGCAAATGACTATTTTGCCCCGTGGGACTCCAGAACTATCATTTTAAATGGGAAATGACCATAGCACCCTTATTGGACCTCGAGTTTGGGTAAAGACCCAGGTAGTGATCTGGACACCAGGGTTTGGGTCGTTACAGATTTGATATTAGAGCGATGGTTCGAATACCATTGAGACAACAGGAAAGGCCTATCTACACAGGTTATATGTTTTGATTACATTGTTCATTTAATATGTACAAGATGTTTAAAATTATGCGAGCATGCTTACTTGATATACGTGTTTACATGTTTAAATGTTGAAATACGTGTTACGTGGCTATGTGTATGAGATGTTTATGTGTCCTAAGAATGTACTTGAGGTGTTTTATATTGTCATGACTGTCAAGTGAGTTGCTTACGGATGTCGTTTATGGGCGGATTGTTAGTGCTGCTTTTGTTGACTCGTTTTCTCGTTTCATAGCACTATGCCACCGTATCTTCGGCCAAGGGGAGAGGTTAGGGAGAGGCTTAACTCCAATCCCGCGGAGCAGGTTAATGAGGAGACACTTCTTCGGGATTTGATTACACTTAGGGGTGTTCCTGTTAGAAGGGAGAATGTTAAGGCTGGTGAGGGTTCAGTCGAGCAAACCCTAACCATATTGTTGTAAGATGTGTTGCGAGTCGCGGTTGCTACAGTTCCGTAACCGCCACCCCAGCTGTTACTATAGGTAGTTATTCCACTGGAAGAGGAAGAAATGGAGAAATGTCTTAAACTTATGTCCGATCGTTGAAATGGATGGTGATATTAACCTAACACTTAAAATTAGGTTTTAGCCTTTCTTTGGCATCATCGGAGATCTTGGGATGAGCTTGGAAGCATCTTCCAACCACATGGAAAGATCTCTGACGATGCCAAAGAAATCATCCACCATGCCTATGTCGCAGAGTATGTCAGCTTCGTCACTGTTCACCGAAGATCGTCATGCCGATGGACTTGATCTGATCGACCGGCGAGGAGTTGATAACTGTATCGAGCAGACCATCACCTCAGGCGTAAAGTTTGGAGATAATAGGGCTTTGCTTTTTAATGCTGATTATCCAAAACTCACCGTACAAGTGGGGCTGCAACTTGGGCTCGGCCTTGAATTTGATTTCTAGGTACATGAACCGGTCCTAATCCTAAATGACAGAGACTTTCACTTCACATCCTGAAAGTTGAAATTTTTTTGGAGTCACTTTCAGAAGAAAAAATAAATAAATAATTAATAATTGTCCAATGCATGTAAGATAGGGATACTACAAGTGGTCCAGTGATAAATTATAAAGTGTTCTAAAAGGCCTACCACCATCATCGACAAATATATATATATATATATATATATATATATATATATATATATATTAGGATTGAGTTGTCAAAACTAGTGAACACAAGCACAAGAATCGATCGAGTGGGGTCAAAAAGCAGATTTCAATAGAAAGGGTTGTTCACAAACCATAAATGTTTACACATTCAAAAAATATAACTTTTTTGCACAAATAGAACAATAAACTAGAACTACCTAAAAATGGGGTGGATCAATATATGTTCGATTGTATAAGTTTATCAATAAGTTACTAAACGTAAATTTATGAACATAGGTTGTGTGCCTTATATAAATTCATGAATGTGTCAAAAATGATCTTAAACTAGTCAAATTGTCAAAATGATCTTAAACATGAGCTTCAATCGTAAAATGAAATTTGTTATTAAACTAATCGAGTCTAAACTTTTTAAAATAATGACAAGCCGAGTCTGAGCTCGAATAGATTCAAGCTCAACTCGGTATATTTACAACCTTAAATTTAAAATTTAATGTTTTTTTTTTTTTAATTTTGCTAGAACTAAATGCAAGAATTGTCCTGGTGGTTTTTACTCTAAACAGTCTCAAAGCAATTGGTTGTTCGGCTAATGTTTCTGCTTCGTGCTTTCTGCTTTTGCTAGTGTACTGTAGCAAAAGCATTGTTCAATATATATATATATATATATATATTAACTAGCCATTCAATTTTTCAAACTTACAACATTTTTTATTAAACATGTTTTCATGTTTTTGCTTCCAAAAATTTTGCAGCAAATTTTCATTACTAAACAAGCTTCGAAATAGTGTTGAATATACTCTATAACAAAATACATTATTTCTGCTTTGGGTCAAAGTAAAAACACAAAGCAAAACTGATTGCCAAACGGTACTTTGGGTCAAAGCAAAGCCGATTGCCAAACAGGGCCATACAAAACCCCCCACACACTCTCTCTCTCTCTCCATGATTTATGTTTATCTATACATTCTCTCTCGTCATTTTTACTTATTAGCTCCCCCCTCTTTAGTTGCTTGTCCAAAGTTAACTCACAACTACTCTCTCTAATTTTCCTCTTGGGCAAACTACAATGACCTCCCCTGAGGTTTGACATAATTGCAACTAAACCTGAGGTTTGCCATTTTGTTGCAGCTTTTCCCCCCGAGATTTGTCCAATTTTGCAAAGACCTCCTCTCTGTACAAAAAGTAGTACTTTTTGTCATAAATTTGGTTTGAAGTGACCAAAATGCCCATAATGTTATTGCATAATTAAAAAAAAATACAATAGTGGATCAAAATGCCCTTAGATATATATATATATATATATATATATATATAAAAGACTCAAATGCAACCCAAATGAAACCCAAATGAAATGCAAATTCGCAATTGTTATCTTCAAATGCAACCCAAATGAAACTAAAAGTGAAATGCAAATTCGCAATTGATATATATTTAAATATAACTGTTACTTTAGCTTTTTAATTTATGATTGTTAAAGAGATATATTAGAGAAAGAGAGATCTCTCTTCCAACAGTGGAGAAAAAATGCCATTGAAGATTCTTTTGAAGGTAAAAAATCTTGAATAATTTAGTTATTAATACAATTCATCTCTTCCAGCAGTAGAGAAAAAATGCCATTGAATGTTCATTTTAAGGTAAAAAATCTTGAATTATTTAGTTATTAATACAATTCAAATCTTTATTACTTTGATATTAATGCAGGTCAAGTCTATTGGATGTAAAGTTTATGGTTCAATTTCTCACCTCATCTACAAAGCAGAAAATTGGCGTAATATAACAGCTGCTTAAAAGTTAAAACCATTTTTTAATTGGTCATTAAAGGCAAAAATGACTAGCTTTTGCAAAGTGACTACATTTTTCAGCTGCAAAACACATAATGGGCACAAATTTAATGATACAAAGATAACAGTTACACAAAATCTTTCAAAAATTGCAATTAAAAAAAGCACTTGCAAATAACCTGGGCATAGTCATTAATTTGTCATGAAAAATAACCATAACATTGTCATTACATAACCCAAATACAACAGTCACATTATTGCTGAATCTGTCTTAAATAAATAACCATAAACTGAGCTTAAAACTATCATAATTCCAGAACCTACCTTGATTACATAACATTAGCGGTAAAATAGTTTGAAACTGTCAATTACATAACCTTAGCCCACCTCAACAAAAACATATAATAGGCTAAACATATCATCATTAGACCTAACTACATTTCCAATATAGCCCACAGTAACAAAATTAGAAAATGGGCTTAACATATCACCATTAGCCTTAATTACATCACCAATATTGCCCATGTCAACAAAAACTTACAATGGGGCTAAACAATTCTTCAGCAGCTACTATATACTTTGGTAGGTCAAATTTGGTTATGTCAATGTCCCAAAAAACAAAAATAATGGCCTGCAATGTGTCAAAGAAAGTAGTTTAAGTAAGTAGTTTAATTCATTCAAGCAAGCATCGAAACAAAGAAAAGAGGGGAAGCATGCAGTTCAATCACCTGTTTAAATAAGAAATTTAATTCCTACTCTCAGCAGTAGGAATCACCACATCATTTGGTACCTGCATGCTTTTCAATGTACTTAAGTCACCATGAAAAAAAAAACTAATTATATACTAAAATGACATACACTGGACCGAGTATTGTTGCCACCTCTCCCAACTCTAGGTCTTTTGCCACTGTTGCCACCATGACCATCTACATTTGACACCTACATATTTTTCAAAGTGAACTTAAGCATTGAAACAACAAAAACAAAAAACAAAAATATTTAACTAATCATATACTGAAATGACATACACTGAACTTACCAACTCTCCCTCTGCTTGTTGTAGCTTTTGATGGACATGCAGCTCTTGAAGGACCTGTAGCTGCTTCTCTTGCTGCTCTAGCTGTTGGTGCCCTTTGGCATCCTCTTTTGTTGTGCCCCACAGTATTGCAAATGCTACAAGTTACTGTAGATGAAGTAACATATTTGAGTTTGTTCACCCTTACACAAGTATGGTCAGGGCCAAGTGTTTTTATTTTATATGTTACCTTGTCAACTAAAGGGGTGCCACGAATTCGCCAATTGCAGCCTTCACTGCCACAATGGGCAATTACCCTAGCCTTCTCATTCTTATTTCTAACAAGCCTAAAACAATTTTGGACAGCATATTCCCTTAACACCTTCCTAAAATGGTTGACATCGTCAAACAAAAACAAAAGAGCTTTTTCCAACTCTATTTTACCATTATCACCATACCTAAACCTTTTACCCTTTATATACTTGTGGACATTAACCGTTTTCCCTTCTATTTCAAGACTACTATCAGAAAAATCCCCCCCACCTTCACTGGAATTGTAATCAGAAAGCCTAGAATCACTATCATCATCAAGGCTCTCAACCTCTAGGTGAACTGGATCAACCACAATATAAATTTCATCCTCATTATCCCCACTGAAAACGTAGTCTTCATCACTCTCATCAGAATTCATATCCTCTGCAGTTGCATTCTCTACACCCTCTTCCTGTCCACCTCCATTTTGTGGGCTCACATTGTGAATAGCCTCATTCTCATCTACATTATCATCTCTGATTACAGTCAAACGTTCATCAATTTCATGAACTTCTAGAAAGATATCTATGTTTACAGACTTGCATACATTTGAAACATCTCAAGGACGTCTAAATCTCCTTCTATTATTATTATTTTTTTTCATTTGGGGAACCTTTATCAAGGCAGTACAACTTCATTGATAGCCCAGACTGTGTAGGAACATTACTAAGTGCAGCCTCACATGCATCAGAAATAAGCTCTAGGAAATTATACCTGTTAGGGTCTATATTACTCAATAGATGAATGTGACCATGATAGTCAACCAACAAAGTATGTAGAAAGTCCATTGCAGAACCTAGAAGATTAAGAATAAAAACAAAAATCCAGTAATCCAGAAAGTTAAGTAATCCAGAAAGTTAATTAACACTAAAGAATTCACAGAAATATTATCAACTAAGGAAAGAGAAAAAAAACAACTAAGAAAACCGTAATTTTAAATTAATATAACCATAATATCACATTATCGAAAATAAACTCCCAAAATGAAGACGAAGATAGAAGAAAAATATAAAAATAATCGTAATTAATATCATCAAAAATAAATTTATTAACCCAGAGAACCTTAATTGCATCAAATCAGAAAGAAATTTTGAAATAAAGGTAACCCTAAAATAAACCCTAAAATCGAAAGAAACCCCTAAGATGAAGATGAAAAAAATTACAAGTACTTGTAACGCTACAAAAACCCCCTAAAAATTATTAACCTCAGAACCCCAATTTCATCAAATCGTAAATAAAATTTTGAAATAAACCCTAAAACAAATACCAACACAAACCCTAAAATCGAAGACAATGTATTTGTGAACCAAGATGGAGATGAAGATGAAAGTCGAACATGAACATCCAATGTAAAGATGAATATTACGATACCTGGCCAGTGTTGATCTCACCCGCACCTCAGGAACACAGTACTGTTGAAGATGATGACGAGCAACACAATCGTAATGAGAACGTGAGAACGTAGTGGATTTGTGGCGACTGAGTTCGAGACGAAGTGATATGTGCAACTTTGTGTGGTTATAAGTTAAAAGGGTAACACAGTCATTTAACATACTCAAATTTTTTGTTTATTTTTTAAAATATAATAATGAGGGCATATAAATAAATTCATAGCAAAATCTGACATGGGGTGTCTTTGCAAAAAAATGGCAAACTTTAAATTTAGTTGCAATTATGTCGAACCTCAGAGGAAATATAATTGTAGTTTGCCTTTTCCTCTTTATTCATTTTCTCTCCCTAGGTTTTTTTTTTTTTTTTTTTTTTTTTTTTTTTTTTTGGCTTCAGTCATTCTTGAAGCATACAATATATATATATGTGTGTGTGTGTGTGTGTGTAATTTATATGTGTGGATAAGGAAATTAGAGAGATCTAAAATCAAGTGTCGCTTGGGACGTACATGCATATATATATATATATAAGTACTCGTGCGTCTATATGAGATGTTGAAGTTAATTTCATTGCCCGAGAGAAACCCCCGAGAGAAACCCGACAAAGCAATATCTATTTCTTCTACCAAAAATCATTTTTCATTTCAAACTCCTTGAGACCTCACAAGATTTTTTCATATTAATACAGCACTAACGCTCAAATTCTAAGTTTTTTAAGACTAATTATAGAGCCCCTTCACATTCTAAATAAATTTCGCTTTATGAATACGAAACAACCACAACCAAGCATTTTCTTCAATTACTTAAGAGTTACTATTTATTTTAACCCAAACTCGAATGTGACTAGTATATTATTAAATTTGTCTCGCATTACAAAAAATGCTTTGTAAAATACATAAATAACAATGTACTGCTTGTCATATTCCAAAGCTTGATGTCTGTTGGATCAACGTTAGTCCGTGGAATTCAAATATAGATTGTGCTCTTGCATATAATCAATTACTCCATCTGCTGTCAAATATTTGACTGACAAACCTCTCGAAATGCAATTCCTGAATACACAACAAACAACAAAACTAAGCATTTCGTAATTCCAATTTTGTCAGATTAATAACATCACCCTCCAAAAAAACAACACACACACACACACACACACACAAAAACCAGTTACCTTATTCTTGTCGAACTGATTTGGTTTGGTATAAGTTCATCCACAACTTTGATATTGTTCTGCAGGAATTTACACGGGAACGGAGTAAAAATGCAAGCCAGGGACTATAGATTAGGTATGCAGCAAATAGAAAAGTTTCTTTACCATTCAGGCAAAATTCTAAATTTCAATAAATTCAAACCATTTCAAATTGTAAACCATAATTAACCCAAATATTCCACATGATCAAACGAAGATTTGATTTGAAATTTTGAGAAGGTTCAAAAAGTTGGTCGAATCTGAAATTAAAACCTTGGTGTCATCAGCTGCACAAAATTTGCACACTTACAAGGGCACCAACCCTATTTTACTCTTAAATGACCAAAAGAAAGTCTGGCTAATGTTCTAATCAAATTCACCATAAAAACAAAGTAGCAACAAAAGTAACTTGGATCACCTTGTACTCATTCAAAATGTCATCGTCTGAGATAATCTTCTCAATGTTTTGACCTTCTCTGAGTATACAAACCACACCATAGTCTCTACATATAGTCCTGACCTGAAAATTTGGAAGTTAAACATTTTAAAACCAAAATTTTCTGCCAATAAAATTTGAAAAATCCCGAATCCTACCCAATTGTCACTCCACAAATGTCTTAATTATAGCGTTTAAGCAGTTGGTCATGATCGTTTAAAGAATCAATACAGAGAATGTCCACAATATTTGGTCATGGTGGTTTAAAGAATCAATACAGAGAATGTCCACAATATTTCAATATCTGATGCCTCACGTTGTTGTGGCAAATATATATAAGATGTAGCACGGGGATGCAGGCACCGCGTCTGAAATAGAGGGTCGCACAATAATAAGTCTTGCATCATCCAATTTTAACAATTGTTTAGGGGTGGCTCAATGATAAGTCTAGCACTATCCAATTTTAACAATTGTTAAATGGAGGATTGCACAATAACAAGTCTAGCATCATCCAATTTTAACAATTGCTTAGGGGTCGCTCAATAACAAGTAGTATTATCCAATTTTAACAATTGTTTTTTGTCTACGACTATCTGTCATGTACAAAACAAGCCATGCTACAAGAACTTACCTGCTCACGTATCCAAGCTCCAGGAATTCCAAAAGATTCTAGCAGATCAGAGCCACAGATGAGCATGACCTTAAGGGAGTCTACAGGCAGGAGAAGAGCAAGTCATGACATCACCACCGAATTAGACAATGGAAACATGCAATGAAGCCATTACCTAGTGTGGTCCATGTTAATTGATTGTATTGGGAAAGGGGTATGCTAGATACAGAACAAACCTTTTTGGCAATATTAGTTTTTCTTGGCCCATTTGTAGCCAAGCAGTGATAAGGGGAACTTGTGGTTAATTAGTGGTGGTTGGGTATGTGCACGAGTGCGTGTGTTGGAGGGGGGGAGTCAAGGAAAACCATTTAGTCCATGATAATTATTTGTCCAAGACAAGCATGTCCTATTAAATACAATTTGTGCAAATAATATCACAAAGCTCAGGCCCTTGCGCAGACTGTCCCTCTCAGCACCCTCAATTAATAGGGGACCATATAGGGTAATGGCTAAAGAGTGATGCTAAACACTTTTTGTTCAAATCAAACTTCAATTAGCAAAAAGGATAAAATATTCCCAATAGAACATGAAAAAAAAGTGACTCCATAAGTCGATTGCTCAAATGCAAAATGGAGAAAGAAAAATGTAATGCTTCTACAAGCCTTTACCTTCAGATATGAGTCCGCCCTCACATAAGACACTCCTGATTCTAGATAAAACAGTCAATGTGTGTTGGAAGGTACTTTGATTTGCCTGCACCAAGGGCTCGATACTTCCATATTTAGTTTCAATAGCTAAATGCCTAAATACCAAGCAATAGCATAACAAATGGAACACAAAATAAAAATGATAATGATGCAAAATTTGTGAAATTTTCAACACTATTATAAAGAATCTGTAAAATGACAGAGATACCTCCCAGGGATCCACCATTATAAATCCAGAACTTCTGCAAGCTAGATGACACATTTCGATACGATGTTTAGCAGATATAAGGCCCTGTAAAGATAATCACTTTAAGCTGGAAATTTGTTAGACCATGTTAAAATGCAGTCATGTAGAAAGAACACATATATGATTTTGAAAATATAACTTAGTTATAATTAGATAAATATTTATAGGGAGCAATACCAACTATTACCACGTAAGCACAAATTCAATCAACCACTGAGCCATAATGCGTGGCAAAATGTGGTCATAAATATGATTGAATATCAACTTCATTACATGAGAGATTAATATCACCATAAAGAGAATGAAAGATGAAGTGTGAAACATGAAACAATTCTGTATGAAAGATGAAGTGTGCAACATGTCAATTCTGAATGAAAGATGACGTGTGAAACATGAACCAATTCTGCATTAAAAAAGGCCGTCCCCATAGTACCATCTCTATAAAAAAAAGGCTCCGCCACTTAATCTCCACAATGGATATTTCAATGTCAAAAACATATATCAAGACTGTAAAATCATTGGCAGCCTATCGCCACAATTTAGCAGTCTCTTACTGCTCTATATTAAGGTAAAAATCTTCATTTGCCAATTTGGATGCACCAGAAAGCTTAAAATACTTTTTTTCTAAAATAATCATAAACCATCCTAGAACTATAAATCTCTGCCAGGACAATTTTTTTGCTAGGAGGGAATGAAGATACTAAAAGAGGATGGAAAAAAAAAAAAGGAAAAAGAATATGACTCCAAGAAGTAACTCAGAAATACAAACACACATTAGTTATTGGAGCTCTAGAAAGGGATGAGATCACTCTGAGAAAGAATTACAGAACTGTACACACACATAAGTAATTGAATCTCTAAAAAGGGGTGAATAAAAATAATCCACGTGCTAATTTTTCGAAGGGTGACCTGATGAGGAGTTGACAACTTTTTCCAGTTAGTCAGGAAACAAAAACAACGAGCCTTTTTACCTTTTCTCTTTTCTTCATAAATTTACCATCACTATCGAATTTTCCCTTTTATTCTCTTTTTTAACCTTTTCTTCTTCCGAACTCCACTTCCTATCCAACGAAAAACGGTAAAAAAAAAGAAAAGGGTTGGGGTTTTTTCAATGCGTCTATTGCACGCATTTCTGTCTTAGGGCCAATGAAATAAAAATGTGTACCATTGCACCTTTCCGGTGTCAAAAAGAATTTTCTACAAGAATGCCTGACGATATGCTACAACATGATACATACCCTTTTCTTGTATGCATCATTCACAGGTGACATATAAGCTCCAATAACACAAAAGCCTTCTGAATTTAATGCATCTCTTGCCAGCTCTAACAATAAAAACGAATTTAATCAATGCAAATTAAACAAAACAAATTAATTTTAACCAAAATGAAATAATGTGATCCACCATGTTTGTAAAAATAACAATTAAAAAGCTAACATTTTAAAAGACTGCCAAAATCATTAGTTCAAGGATTCATACTCATATTTACCACCAAATATAAGTTTGAGTAATATCTTGAGTCACCCCCAGAGAAGGAACTGTGAAGTGCAAGTCCCACCAGGAACAAGGGTATTCAAGAATAGCATTCAGACTTATATTCATGAATGAATGAACCAAAAAAAGACACCGAGTGAAATGTCATGGTTTACAAGTACTCAACAGGATTGAGGATGATATTTCCATTTGGATCCGATTTTTACCAACAACACATCTATCAGCCAACAAATATATACTTTCTTGAACAACAATATGTATAACTGCGTGATTACATTTTTTTTGAAGTGCATGAAAAAGTAAACAGTACAAAAAACAATAATTCTTTGCTTATGCCTTTACATCAAATTAGGAAAAAAGGGACAACTGGGCGAAACTGAAAAAACCGAACAAAGGACATATACCATTGTACACTTCAGAGGATCTATTATCATTGGTGGTGAAAATCATGAAATAGTTGGGTATGAGTTTTAAGGAAAATTTATTTGTAGTCTTGGTAAAGCCAAACTTCTAAGATGATGCACTCACTAATACTCAAAGTTGCTAATTTACCAACTTTACAAAAGGATCCCAGTTACAGAAGTGATGAGGGACTGCTTGAATGGATAACATCACGTGGATAGATTTTTTTTGTTATCCTGTCATGCAATCATCTAAAGTTCCTTATCTTTTCATGTGGTAGGCATTATTCAGTATAAAAAATAGTGTGAAATTGGCATGAAGTGTGCATAGTAGGCATATGATTCTCTTCTTTTTCTTCATTACTTTATTTGATCCATTATCCTGTTTTGAAGAAAAAGAAAAAAAGGAAAAAGATATAGAGGGTAAAGAATATTGCAAGGCTTAATACTCCCTTCACTGATGAATTCCAGCGCCATATTTACATTTCAAAACAGATGTAAGAGTTAAAAAGAAAATTTAGAAAACGTAAAACCTCCTATTTTGACAGTTTAAGAATCTCACAAGTCACAAGCCAGTTTTGATGTCAACTTAAAATGTTGCTATTAGAACGAGCAGAGTATCAAGGTTATGCAAACTTACCAAAAAGACGCAAATGCATGTAAGTAGGAGGATTGAAACTTCCAGTTGACACAAGAACGACATACATTTTGCCCCTATGAGAGAGAGAGAGAGAGAGAGAGTTAGCATTTGTATTATTATTTTTTTATTCTTGTTGATGGAGAGGTAAACTATTTCAAAGTTACAGAAATCTATTACATGATAAATTAACATCTATCAGAAGAAAATTGTTGTGCACTGGACTAAAAACGGTTACGCTAGCCTAAATTGAACTAACTAAATTCAGTCAATACATGTAATTAACAGTGATCTTGTACGGCCTAATTAGAGATTATCACACTCAAGCTATCTCTGCTAGATGAAGTTCAACATGCATAAAACCCTGCCTACCAGCTTCCTCTTTGGGATTCTGTTCTCGGCTTGCTATATTTCATATCGAATATTTGCAAAAAGGTCATGTGTTCCTTCTACTAAAACACGTGATGCAAGAAAGAAAGAAATAAAGAAAGAAAAAAGGAGGTTAACACCCTTAGTGTTTCAGTGACGTGTAAAACATACCATTGTCAACCAAGCATGCATCTTGATGCGATGAAGGAAAAAAGGAACACTTTCAAGCAACCAAGCAGTAAAAAAATTGGTAATGCAACTGGAAAAGCTAAACTTACTCGATTTTAGTTTCTGAGGCTCCTAGAGATAATTTATCCAATGGCAACGCAATATCCATATTACCTAAAGAAGGAACAAATTTATATTAGCAATTATACAACCAACAAATGAGAATAAAATGTTCAAACTTCTTTCAATTATCTATGTTGAATTAGGAATATTAAAAGAGTTCCAAAGGAAATGACAAAGCAGTGTACAACTAGATCGAACCTAAGCATTATGAGCATCAAGAAAAAAAGTTTTATTTGAATCCTTGCTAAATAAGCAGTTTCATGCAAAAAGAGTGATCCCGTAGTGTCAAAGCAACACAAGGGTTTAAAACTGAACAGAGCTATCACTAGTTAAGATACAATAGCAAAAAAAAAAATCAGAAATGAACGTGTAACTGAACACAATCATTAAAGTCCACAACTCTTGTGGTTACAAAAAACCTACTGGATAATGATCAAGTATGTAAAAGGACAGCACTAAGACTTTCCCAAGTATATTGTGCAAATTTTTTAATGTTGTGTTTGGGAGCCCAAATCAGTGCTTTGGATTTGGGATTGGAGAAAATTCAAGTTTAACTAAATTTTTCCAATTTCAAATGCAAACCGCCGATTCGGTGCTCCCAAACATATCATATAGGATTTTACCCTACATAAACCATAAGAATATGTAGGCAACTATAACCATGAAAATAGTATAATATCAGTTCTTATAGCGCAATTAACAATAACAATAACTAAAGTGCATAAAGCATTGTTTCCTTAACAAACACCATAACAGTATTATAGCAACCTTGTGGGCGGGTGTGCTGTGGGAGGGTGCAAAAGGCACTGGCAGCATGCTACCAAACTGGGCGACCTACAGGTGCACAGTCCCACATCGCCTGGGTAAGGGAAAGGTGAAGTACTTTTATGTGGCGGTCCTATCTCCAATTGGTACGAGACCTTTTAAGGTAAAATCCAATAGCAAAACCGTGCAAACTCGGGCTCAAAGCGGATAATATCATACCATATGGTGGAGTGGATTGTTACAAAAGCCAACCAGAAGTGTGGCCAATGGGGGTGTTGGGCCAAGGGGGTGATTGTGGCCACCTTGTGGGCCCAAAGGTGGAGTGGGTTGTTACATTTGAGTTTCTTAGAAACATTAACAAGCAAGAAAGAACAATTATTAGAGGCTAAAACCAATTACAATTTATATCAATTTCTTTTGTTCTTAAGGTGGATTTGATTGACAACATGTAAAGTAATAAATAGAAGTACATCTGGTACTATCTTTGTAGGTACAAAAAAATTGCTTTATACACCCCCCTTTTCTTTCTCTCTCCCCTTTCTATTTATAGTTCATTTCCTTCTACCCTAATTCCCTTTCTTGGTCTCCATGGTTTGGGCCCATGGGCTCTCCTAATTTGGGCCTAATTTGTTGGGCATCTGACTTGGGTGGCTTGCTTTCGGGCTTGTAATTGACCTTGGATGAATTTGCCCCTTCACCTTGCCCCTACAAGTGTGTCTCATAAATGGGGGACAGCTGTATACAATCGTGTCTCTTGGGCCACGTATATATTGATGGCAAATTCATGTCCACAAGGTATTTGGTGCGGCGTGTATCCCTCAGGTTTCGTATCGCCATCATTGTATGGTTGTTTGGCTTCTCGATCGCTACTTCTCTCTCGTCTTTATATTCTTCTCTCTCTCTTCAATCTTTTCTTTTGCTGCTGTTGTAATTGTATTTGACCGAAGATTTACATCGATGTATCCATCATTACTCCTCCGTCTCTGGTGATCTCTTCCTCTCGGCAAGTTTCCCGGTGCGAATCCATCTCTTTCCCGGTGAGGTTAGTAGTCTTCTTCTTCCTAGTTCGCTCCCTTTTGTTTATTTTCTTTCTCCAGGCGTCTTGGTTTTTTTTAATTTTTTTTTATTTTTTTTATCATGTCTGTCCACTTAGATGTTTTGAGTGTTGCCAAATTCATATTGGAATTGATCTTAGACTTTACCCTGACAACGCCGATTATGAGGTCGGTGAGGGCCTATTTCTTTAGGATCATCTCTGTTTTGTTAGCTTTGAACTCGAGTTGCGACCTAGATCTTTCTATCATTGACCTATTTTTCTGCTACAAAACTGCAAAGACTCATTATACTGGTCGTTCGGGGAGGAATGAACTTTCGGTACCATTTTTATCCAATCCCTGATCGTTCCATATGTACGGGTAACCCTAAATCCCAAAAGGGCCGGAGGGATGAGATGGCTGTGGTTGGTGGAAATTGAAAGGTTGCTAATTCTGCCATTATCCCTACCAAATTTGGGAAATGTGTTATTTCTTTGTATCCACATTATAAAAAACATAAGTACATGTATATGTGACACATATCTTCCTCGCTTCTGCAGGTTTATCTGTCAATTTCTGGGTGTACCTTTTGATCTTCTTGACTACTCAATTTGTTTGGGTAGGCTCAGAGTTTTTGAAACAGAATGTGTCGCATAGCATTCCATCCAGTCTCTCCTTGCTGACTCAGCATAGCTTTTGAAGCCCTGAATATGGCCCGTCTTCAGCTCCCCTCACTTGGCAGGCGTCCTACAGCTACCCAATCAACACAAGCTGCTCAGGACCAGCAAGCTGCTGGGGTGCAGCAGCCTTCTGAGGCGCAACCCTCGGGGCAGAACACATCTCTTGGGAAGAGATCAGGCTGCAGATCAAGGAGATGGTGCCCCTTTACTTAGGGGAACAAACTCCGAACGGCTGGGTCTGGTTCATCCGCTCAGGGGACTCAAACAATTGGCCCCAAAGGGCCCGATTTGCCTCCCGTTGCCTGGAATCCAAATTTTTTTAGGTGGATGACCAGGGGAATGACGTCATGGTGACTGCCACAGACACCATGTCCAGAAATAGGCCCATTGCCCTCTCCTATTATAAGAACATGTGGATTCCTAAGAATCTGCAGATTCAGGATAAGCTGGACAGGCAAGAACTGTTTACTCATTTCCCCATCAGCGCCATAGAGGTGACTTCACTTTTACTATGCTTTCTTTTTCTTTTAATTATTGTATTTTTGGCCCTTGAGGCTGTTATATCTCAGTAATTCAGAGCGGTTTGTTGGTCATGCATACAACGTTCGGGATGATGACCATGCAGAGGGCCACTAAGGCTGGGAATAGGGCCACTGAGGCTGGGAATAGGGCCACTGAGGCTGGGAATCGCAACATTCTTTCCCTTAACAACACAAACAGAGAGCTGTTTACTGAATTGGGCAAAGTCAAGGCCAATGTGACAATGACGTGAGGGAGAGGGCCGATCTAGAAGGGGCCCTTGAGGTTGAAAAGGCAGCAAGGCTTGCTGCTGAAAAAACAATTGGAGGCCGTCAGCATTGAACGGGTTCGCCTTGCTGGTCTTCTTGGTCGGATTCCAAGGCTGTTGAGGCTTTAGGCGCTTGCTTCTCCCATACGGCTGCCCTTAGGTACACAAAGGGTTACCAGGAGGGGCTCTTTTATTATTGCCTACCTAAGGGACCAGAGAGGGTGTTCGATAATCATGACACTTGTGACGCCAAGCTCTTTATTGACCCCCCTATATGTTGATCCTACCGGGGATGCGGCTAAGGGGATCTTCAATGATTGTGTGGCAGCCTTAGCTAACCTCATGTCTCTTCCTGAGCCTTCTGTTGTTCCTACTGCTGAAACTTCCAATCCTTCCCCCCAGGATTGCCAAAGGATTCCTTCTGTTGACGGGATTACTGATATAACCACCGCTTCAAATACTGCAACTACATAGAAGAATCCCATCACCCTTGACTCCCCCACCTCTCATGTTGAGAGTTAGGAATAGACTTTTTGTTTTTTTCTCCAGTTCTCCTCTCTTGTAATGCTTCATGTAACTTTCTTTTATTCAAGGAACTTTTTTGGCCAGACTTGTAATAACTCTTCTATTTATAAAATTTTAATGTTAGCTTATTGTGCTCATTCTGACTTTTGTTTCTGAATGAATGAAAGATTTTTCCAAGTGTTTGGCGATCGGCTCTTGGTGCCACTTGCCACTCTTTACTTGAAATTTTTTTCTAAGTGTTTGGCGATTAGCTCTTAGTGCCACTTGCCTTAGCTGAGCTCATGCCCCCCTATATGTTGATCCTGTCGAGGATGCAGCTAAGGGGATCTTCAATGATTGTGTGGCAACCTTAGCTGAGCTCATATCTCTTCCTGAGCCTTCTGTTGTTCCTCCTGAAACCTCCAATCCTTCCCCTCAGGATGGCCAAAGGATTCCTTCTGCTGACGGGATTACTGATCTAACCACCGCTTTAGATACTGCAACCACAGAGGAGAATCCCATCACCCTTGACTCCCACACCCCTCATGTTGAAGGTTAGGTTTAGGCTTTTTTTTTTTTTTTTTTTCCCTCTATTGTAATGCTTCCTGTAACTTTCTTTTATTTAAGGAATTTTTTTGGTCAGACTAGTAATAACTATTCTATTTATAAAATTTTTATGTTAGCATCTTGTGCTCATTCTGACTTTTGTTTCCGAATGAATGAAAGATTTTTCCAATTGTTTGGCGATCGGCTCTTGCTGCCACTTGCCACTCTTTACTTGAAATTTTTTTCCAAGTGTTTGGTGATCGGCTCTTGGTGCCACTTGCCACTTTTTGCTTGAAATTTTTTTCTTAGTGTTTGGCGATCAGTTCTTGGTGCCACTTGCCACTATTTACTTGATTTTTTTTTCAAGTGTTTGGCGATAGGATCGGCTCTTGGTTCCACTTGCCACTCTTTTCTTGAATTTTTTTTGTAAGTGTTTGGCAATCGGCTCTTGGTGCTACTTGCACCTTTTTACTTGAAAAATCTTTCGAAGTGTTTGGCGATCGAATAGTGGTCGTGGGTTTGATTCCCAAAGACGGCGCCAATTAAGGTGCAGGTACAAAAAGTTGCTTCAGACACCCCCATTTTCTTTCTCTCCGCTTTGTATTTATAGTTCATTTCCTTCTACCCTAATTCCCTTTCTTGGTCTCCACGTTTTGGGCCCATGGGCTCTCCTAATTTGGGCCTAATTTTCTGGGCATCTGACATGGACCTGGGTGGCTTGCTTTTGGGACCGATCTCTTCCATGGTCCTGACTGTTTAAGGTTGGGTTTGCAATGGGGCTTGGGATGAATGTGCCCCTTCAATCTCTTTATACTGATTCTGATAAACTTAAAAACAATTCAAGAAAGAACAATCCACTCAATTTCCTAGTCTATCTATTACTACTCTAAATGTGGGAAGGCCTCCGATTATTTCTAACATGCTGTTTTGAAAGAAGTTAAAAAACAAACCTTATTTGCAACCTCATCAAACCAGCAAATGAAAATGCCCAACACACTAAAAGATATTAAAACAAAATACAATGCCCAACCCACTAAAACATATTAAAAGAAAATGTCCAGCCCCACTAAAATCCAACCTTACCATCAATGGCATGATTACAATAAAACACCCTATGATCCAACCTAATCACACCAGAATGCCTAACCCACTAAAACAAAATGCCCAACCCCACTACAACAAAACCACAAAAAGACAAACAACCATTAACATCACCTCTTCCATTAATTAATGCCATGCCTACATTATTGTGAGTATAAAAATCACAAGAAGACCCAGGAAAACATCTTTATGCTTTCGTTAATGCGTACAATTTTCCCTCAGCACTCTTAATCCTGCTGCAACTTCTTTGTTCCTTCTAATGTAAATTATGGCTCCACGTAAGGAAATATTACAACAGCCAGGTAAGTAATTTAATATGCTCATGGATGTATTTCCTAAATTTAGAAGTAATTAACTAACTGTGTCTGTTAAGTACTGTATATATACACAGGGAAAAAATGTGAATAATCTAAAAGATATTAAAACAAAATACAAAATGGCTAACCCAGTTACCCACTAAAAGAAACCTACACGAAGACAAAGGCAAACATGAAATGACAATGCCCAACCCACTAAAACATATTAAAACAAAATGTCCAGCCCCACTACAATCCAACCTTACCATTAATGCCATGATTACAATAAAACACCTTATAATCCAACCTTATCACAAGGAAAAAATGTAAATAATCTGGCCTCCCAATAATTATTTTGGCTAATGCTAAAGCGAAATCATTGATATTGAGAAAGGTATGTGTATAAAAAATTATAAATTGATTTTTGTTTGTTCAATTGATTTTGTGATTTTGTAATGAGAATTAGTTATACAAGCATATTGATTTTCTAATTTTGAAATGAGAATTACTTATACAACCACACAATTAATATATTATTTTATAAGAAAAGCATTTTATTTCAAAGATTGGAGAAGTTAGTAATCCGGCATTCCAAACATAATTTCCGCGCAAGGCCACTGAAGTTGGACAAAGGTATGTGTATATACAAATATAGGACATTTTGTTTTATTGAATTGAAATACTTAGAAGCCCATGAAAGAGAAAAATTACGCCTTCTTGCTCTTTTTTTTTTTTTTTTTTTTTTTTTTTTTTTTTTTTTCTGGGGTCTAAACATACAAATGAAATTTAATAAACATAACAAAAGCTAAACAAATAATATACGGAGTATATATATATATATATATATATATATATATATATATATATATATATTTTTTTTTTTTGATAAGTAAAAAAATATATCAAAAGTATCCTAAGTGTTGCATCTAAGATGATTATCAGGAGAATTTTTCAATCTGAATCCTTTAATTCTATAAGCACTAGAGGTCAATAAGACATGCAAATTACAAACAAAAAATTAGATCAATTGAGGAATTCAAATTGCACATACCCAAATAGAGCTCGTCGAAATATCTACTCCCGATCTTCCGCCCAAGCTTAAAATTTGAATCAAATCACGATTCCAAATCAATGGCTGAACACTTATATTCTCCAAATAAATCTCAGATCCGTCACCGACCCACCATGCACAATCATCCGAAAATCTCCTTAACCGTTCAACGATAAATCAACCACCACGTCAAACTCTGAATCTCCAATATCAAAACCGAAAAATGATCACAGGGTAATAGAGGTAGACATGATATATAGCAATAAATGGGCTTGGTGGGCTTGGGTTCTATTGTAAAAGGGATGAGTGTTTGGTGTGAATTGGGTTGGGCTCATGTAAAATAAAAGGATCTAAACAATTAATGGATTTTTAATATGTGGGCTAAGCCTTCATCACAAATAATTATCAAGTTATTTTTATAATTTCAATAGCCAAAGGAGCCTATTAATAGTGAATATGTTCACAAACATACAAGCCGAGCATCCGTTGTTTAAGATTGATTCGTTATTAAACGAGCTTGAATGAACAACTAAATAAATCCCACATATAAATGACAAGTAAATCAAATCAAATGACCCCAAAATTCTTAACACTTGAATGCATGTCACAATGCATGACATGGTTCCCCACATACAAATGAATAGTAAATCAAACCAAATGACCCGAAAATTCAAAACACTTGAATGCATGTCAATGCATGATGTACATTTTTTAATAATTAATTTTTAAAATAATTAGAACGATAACTAATATCCACTGTCCATCAAATGTTTAGAAGGTCCAACTCATTCTTCTTGTTTTGCCATGTTTCATAACAACAATTAAAACCAAGTAAGAAAACACCCAAAAAAAATTTTTTTTAAAAAAAAACAAAACAAAACAAAGCAAAAATATTGTAAGAAAAATTAAAGAGTTTAGTTAAAATTCATATAGAGTTAATGTGACTTTGTAATTTAAACATTAAATAAATCATTTACAAAGACACGCTAAAAAACATAAACATAATCCAACATGGATTTTTTCACTCCATGGTAGCTTATTTTGCCTACAAATAACAAATTGTTGATTGCAGTTGTTAATATTTATGTTTCGATATAAAATTGTTATTCCTATATGGTAGATGATGATGTCTTGTAAAATCTCAATTTAGATAACGTATTTGAATTACAAATTTAAGACGCTCAAATGTTAAACGTATCATACAAATAATATTATAGTTGGTCAATTAAAAAATTAAATGTTAGACATAGCAAACAAATAATATTATTGTTGGTGGAATACAAAATTTAATTTATACTTTCAATTAAACAGAAAATGATACAAATATTTTACTGTTGAAGGAAGATTGTTCAACTAATATCAATGGCATCTAACAATAGGCGCGAACAATTGAATGAATACCAAAAAAATAGATATGCAAATTTGACGCAAGAGCAAAGAAACAAGAGAATTAAACAAGTGCATAATACAACGAAAATAAGAAGAGAAGGGAATGTAGCGCAATCAAGTCGGCCAACACTTCACAAGTTGAAGAATGTACCAAGTTGTTAGTACTGTTGTGTGAAATTTTTTGAATATGAACCTCAAACTTTTTGTTGTTCAAATGGTGATATGACATTCACATCTATGCCTGTTCCCGATCAATTATATGAGTTATTTACCTCTTAAAATTTTTTGGCAATATGTTTTCGTCGATACATACTTGCATATAACAGTATCTTCTCTTTTACATCGTTTGGAGTTCGCGTTGGCAAAGAACTTACGAATATGAATAGTGGGATTTATACTTTTCGTTCACAAGGACAAATATATCATGATCTTCCCTCGCTCTTAATGGAAGGCAGTAATCCATGTTACTTCCATATTTCTATGACACAGACAATGAGTTACAAAATAGAATGCACATTTTGAAATATCAAAATATAAAAGAGCCCATTGTTTTGAATTTGATCGAGATATGTCATCAAATCCATATGCTCAATTTTTCCGTAGGCTTAAAGACCTTCCTTTTTAAGGAATTGCGAAATAATCATAAGAGGTGATGTTCGACTTGATCAAAGGGTGTGCAATTCACCTTCAGCCGACCAAGTCGCAGCTGTGTGGATAGAAGGAACAAATTCTAGCATACGCTGAGAACGTGACATAATTGTTAATGTACATTCTGGTTGAAGATACAAAGTTAAACATTACTATAGTTGTTACGATCCACTACAGTATCCTTTATTCTTTCCGTTAGGAGAAATTGGTTGGTATACAAATATTAAAAAACGTCATCAAGGATGTGTAGTGAACAATATTACATGTGAGGAAGACATATTCCAAAATGACATATCAGTATCATCTAAACAAGGTAATCTTATTGAATTTATAAGCTTTCAAAACAACTTGATTCAATTCGAATATCTTTAAATACTTATTTTGCTCCCTAAAGTTTCTCTTCAAAACTATTTGTATAGGAGTTGGAGAAAGGGCAAGTAAAAAAGTTTCATGTAGAGAATATTATTGTCACAGACTTCAAATTTGTGAACATGGTTGATCAGTTTGCTTTATGCTGGGAGGCTACTGCAACAATATGTTGTTGATATGTACCTAAGGCTTGAAACAACGCGTTTTGACTATTTTAGAACATAACAATCACATATCCGTTCAGAGTTATATCAGGGAATTGTTGATAGTGTTGTTTATGGAGAAACGAGGAGACAAAGTTGGAAAACGAGTTGTTCATCCTTCTTCTTTCATTAGAGGGCCTAGGGATATGAGGCGAATATATTTTGACGCAATGAGTTTAGTTCAAAGATTTGGGAAGCCAGACCTTTTCATCACCGTAACTTGTAATCCTAACTGGAAAGAGGTTAGAAATGAGCTAAAAATAGGACAAGTTGCTCAAGACAGACCAGATTTGACAGTGTAATACTCCTAAATTTTAAAGAATTTATTTTATTTAAATTAATTGGTTTATTTAATTTATTTGGGATTTATTTATTTAATTGTTTAGGTTAATTGGATTGTTTAATGAACTTATATACTTATAGTTGTTTATTTGTTTAATTATCCGATTTATGTGTTGATGGGTATTTAATTGTTTAATTAGTTATTTATATGATTTATTTGTTATATGAATTAGTTGTTTATTTATTTTAGTTATTCATTTTGCAATAGATTGGGCTTGGAGTTTTGGGCATGGAAGAGGGCCTTGATGGATTAAATAGATGGGCCATGGGAATGTAAATATATATGTACATATATACACATATATATATTTTTAATTAATGTATATTACTTGTAACGACTCAAACCCGGGGGTCTGAATCGCTAACTAGGTCCTAACCCGACCCAAAGTCATCCGAGGGTAACACAGTCATTTCACGTTAAATTAATACTTTAAGGCCCGCAATAAGGGCAAAATAGTCCTTTAACACACACACACACTTTATATATATATATATATATATATATATATATATATATATATATATATATATATATATAATGGTTTCAAAACCCAAAAAAGGTAAAACGGTCTTTTACTAAGGTCATCTAATGATTAGGATGAAGTCCGGGGGTAATACGGTCATACCCTTGGCTAAAATATAGTTATTGTGTTTTATTAGATCACATGGTGTGTAACAATGTTCTTAAGTGAGTGGAAGAGGGCAAAAGTGGAAAATAAATTACAAGGGTAAAATAACAAAAAACCGGTCGACGTCTAGCACTTACACGTCGACTGGTTGATAAACGCCGAATATTGCATATTCAGGTGCTCTTATTTGCATTAGTTAAGTCCATTAGTTGGTTTTATTGTATAGATTATCTCCAGTTCCTCGTTTTTGTGTATTTTCAGGTTTGTCTCCCAAAAAGAAATAAAGTGGAGGTTTTAAAGGCTTTTTGAATATCAAGTCATTCCGAGCCTTTGCGTCCTATGATTTCCAAGAAGAAATTGCCAAATTGTGTTCATAAAGACTCTCTACAAAACAAAAGGGCAGAAGATGGACTCAATGACCCAAAACCAAGATCAAAGTGAAAGAGAATCAATAGCGTGAAGAATTGATAGAAGTGAAAGAAGTTCAAAGCAGAAGAAAAGAAAAATAAATTCTAAGGCACGTATGAGCGCTCGTCCAGCGCCTTACGAGCACTTGTCCGGTATTCATGAGCAACCGGCGTGCGCACCATGTCATACGATCACTCGTCCTTCTTACGAGAGCTCCAATTCGAGGCAGAGAGAAACAGGGTATTTACGAGCGCTCGTCTCTGCAGCTCCGGACCATGAGAAGAATTCTAAGGCATGGACGAGCGCTCGTGCTGCGCCCTACGAGCGCTCATCCAAGCACTGCAGACCCACTTGGCTTTTTGATCATTTCAATTGGATTCCCTCCTTAATTGGGTTGTTGGTAAAATACTTTTGGGGGACATGGACCTCGGTTTTGGGGAGGTTTGGTAGACATCTTGTCTATATGAGAAGGGTTGAATCATTGTAGGAAGATATCTAACATTGTAAGGATTTCTAGAGAGAGAAATATTGTTCTTGAGAGCTTGTGTGTTATTCTTAGCTGCTAGGTGCAAAAATGGAGGGGAAGACCTCATCTACCTCTTCCTCCCTTGCTTCCATGGGTAACTAACTCCCTTTCTAGGAAGGTGATGAAGCCCTTTTTTGTAAGCATGCTTTAGTTTTGTTTTTAATTTGGAGAATGAATCATGTATATGGTAGTTTCATGATCTAGAGCACTACACATGTTGTAATGGATCTTAATTTTTATAAATGATTATGTTGAATCTATTATCTTGTCTTAGATTATATTTTCTCATGATTGTATGGCTTGCATTTTCATAGTGAGAATGGAAATGAGATTGTGAAATGGTTTTTATTGGCATATTGTATGAGAAGCTTGTTAGTCCATAGCTTAGGGCCTCCCTTTGATGGATTATTCTTGGTTCTTGACTTCATGTACTATTACCATAGTTATTGAGGAGTTTGATAGTACCTAGCTTAGTGAGCATGTCATAGCTACACTCTAATTTAGGTAGTTCAAGCATGTGGAACTTTGAGGAATTATACTGATGAACTTCTTGAAGATAATGTAGTAATCTTGTATTGCTACATATCATTGCCATATACCTAAGTTGTTTCTCAAGTTAATTACAAGTTAGCATGTTTATATGGTTGGAGGTGAATTCACTTCCCTAGCCCTTTTTACATAAATTTCTCTCACCTTATATTCCTTC